TCCCTTACACATGTTTTGACTTCGTCCCCTGTTGCGGAGAGTAGCAGGTGCCCCTCGCAAAAGAAACATAAAACGTCTTGATTCTTGAAAAGCCGGACTGAGGAGGTTGAGCTTGAAACGAGTGGCAGGAATTAATGTTTCATAATTGACAGCTTTGGTTCCGCTTGTTTGACGCTTTTCTATCGGATGTGTGTCCGTTTCGATATGTTTACCATGTTTTTGTCGGACAGGTGAGCCTCGGGGGGGAGGTGGCGACTGTTCGCTTCTTCCATTCGCGCAGTCGAGGAGTGGACCGGGTGTTCGTCGATCATCCGCTTTTCCTCGAAACGGTAGGCCTGTTGCAGACGCAGATGAGAAGACCTGTGTCCTGATGAAGAGAGTTGTGTTTCTTTCGACTCTTTGTCTTTCTAATACTCTATTAAAATATATTCAACAACATCATTCGCATTCCTAACATACACGGCTGGCCTTGCAGAGACGACGTTGCACCGAACGGGAAGAAAAGAGTAGTGCACCAGAGAGAAGCGAAGTAACAATTGAACTGACTGTTGTATCTGGACGTCTTTTCCTACTGAAACGTTTTCTGGAATCTGGAGGTCTTTTCGTACCAAGTTTTCTGGAGGCCGTTTCCTGCTGAACGTTTCGGGTCGCGGCTTTAGACCGTCGGAATGTGTGTTAACACTGTTAAGTGAGATGTCAATCCAAGAGTACGTGCAATCCGCCAACGGACGTAACAACGCGGCAAAGGGTTGAAATGAAGCTTAGCAATGGAGCAGGAGTACCAAAATAGAGAGCATGTATGACTTCGCCAATTGTAGACGAGAAGAGAGCAAGTCTTTCCTACTATTACGCTTTCTACTCGAAAGATGATGGTGTGTGTTGGAACGAAGTACCCTGCAAAAAAGCCGGCAGACTATAATGTTTGCTTCAGTTGTCAAAGTGATATGAACGCTTCCTAAGTCTATGGTTGGCGTAAATGACAGAGTCGTCACTGGGTCCGTATATAATTTCACGACGTGGTCCACGAGTTGAATTTCTTTCTTGCCCTGTGGCCCTGTGGGTTGTTTCGATTGATGCCGCAAAATACTGATTGCAATCCGGTTGGAATTGGGGACCGTCGAACGAATGGCAGGTGTGGGGCATGACAGGTCAAAAGATCTACGGCGAGAGAGTGGGGGTTGAGTATCCTGAGAATCCTCTGCGGTTCTCCGTCTTCTGCCAGGTAGGGCTGCTTCTCTTCTTGCATGCGTCTCACCTCCCTTTCTGTCTGATCTGCAACAGTTACTGTGTGTTGCGTTACCCGGGCAGTCAGGCACAGAACCTTATTCCCCCCCACACTCTGAGTCCATTTTGCTGTTCATGCTATACGTTTAGTGGGGGCTGAATACCCGGAGAATTCTCCGTCATCTTCTGCCAGCTACGAGGGCTTCTCTATCATGCGTGCTATTGTAACTTGTCTTTGATCTGTAACTGCGTTTCGTACCCCAGGCATACAACCCATATCTCCCGCACATCCTGAGCGTCTTGGACTGCTGTTCAGTGTTCATGCTAGACGGACGAGGCGTGGGAACTGATGTCGTGAAAGCGAAACTTTCGAATGTTTTCCATGTATCCTTATGCTCGAGGAAGCGCTTGCGGACGGTCTTTATGCTGTCGATTTTGGTACAGTATTTTTGGTTGTTTTGTTTGGTGTGATACCCTCTTCTACTCTGTGCGAGCATCACGATATTTCTAAGCTTGCTCGCCTCGAGTGGGAAATGTGGGAGCTGTTATCTTATTTGTCGTCTTTTGCTGCTTGTTGCAGGCTGCACTCCAGGCTCCCTTGCTCCTCCATTTGGCGGAGGGCCTGGGTTTGTCGTCCCCGTACGGTAAGTCTCATCATACTTAGCCGCCTGACCTCGGCAGATTTCGCATGTTTTTCTTGTTTTCTTTTTCTGTGTACTTTCGCTCTGTTTACAGTTGCTTGGCCATTGTGTGTATGTGACTGTGTGTATGTTTCTACGTAGGACGCATCCGCCAATTGACAAATTTCTATCAGTCTTCAGTTACTTACGCTGTTCTCATTGCGATTCGAACAGGTGCTCTCTCGTGTCTTTCTTCATGCATTTGTGAAATCCCTCGTAAAGCCCATAGCACGTATTTTGACGCTCGCCGAGTTAGAAGACGAGGCGCAACATATATGTCTCTCTGAGACTGACTTTCACCATGCGGTGCGCTTGCAGGGGAGGACGTGGTTTTCGTCGTCAATGATTGGCACGCCGCCCTTGTTCCTCTATACCTGAAGAGCCGATTTCAGTCCAGAGGCACGTACGCAAATGCCAAGGTATGTGCTTCGACTCCTTTTTTTTTTTCTTTTTTTTTCCTGGTGGTAATGTGTGTGTGTATGTGTGCGCTTCGATTCCGTTCTTCCCAAATGCTAATGCCGTAGTCTGCGGACAGGAGGGAATAAACAAATGAAAGCCATACTAGGAATCACCAATGAAGGCTGGATGGGTAGCAACTCAGCATATTGAGGACAAGCAAACGTGGGCGAGAGTCAAACCCACAGCGGGTGATATCTGTGACAGCGTATAGCCTAAGAGAGGGGCGAGCTGGTGTTAGTCTGAGTGCCCTGGCTTCTGTTTGCGCGCACGCGTAGGTGTTGTACTTCGTAGCGGGCGGTGAGTCTGTGTATGAGTGTGTGTACTTGTCTGTGACTTGTGTGACGTGTGTGACGTATGGTGCCACGTGCACCCAGTGCATCCCTGACATCCTGTGTAACTGGTTTTGATGAAATTGAATCTTCGATTTTGCGAGGCAGACGTTAGGGTGTGTAGTTATGTACGCTCCATGGAAAAGTCATAAGCCCACCCCGCGACGAAAACTTTGCGTTCATTTCCCCCTGAATGGGGTAGAATGTGGCGGATCGGAAAGCAATCCTCATCGAACGCTGTGCCAAATATTAGGTCAAAATATTTAGCATGAAATAGACATTCAAAATGATTGAATACTGAGCTGCTATGCAAAGAAGAGATTGTTGTCGAGAATCAAAGAACAAAAAACTGATCGCTCTGAATCTCATTCCTCTGTTGTGATCCTCCGTTGGGTCGTTTTTAATGATCACAGGTTGCAATGTGTGTGCACAATCTGGCTTATCAAGGCCAGTTTCGTGAAGGCGAAGTCGAATACAGCACCCTGGACCTTCCTGCGGAACTTCGACCAGCATTCGAGCAGCAAGTGCCCAACAGGTTAGAGCTCATCAGATATGCAAGAGCAGCAAGACCTGTTATTAAATTCGAAACCGGTCCATGTGCTATGAAAGCCGCAACGTATACAATCATTGACAGATGAACACGGCACACCAGTGGTTTCTGTGAGTGGATGAGGCGGCACACATTGAAGACGACCTGGATAGGTGGTGCGAGTCTGCTTAAGGTGTTCGATTCTCTCTCTCTCTCTCTCTCTCTCTCTCTCTCTCTCTCTCTCTCTCTCTCTCTCTCTCTCTCTCTCTCTCTCTCTCTCTCTCTCT